TTCTGGTGGTATTACTGACGATATTGGTCACACTGCAGTATATTGGCTCCTGATCTGATCTCAAAACAGGACTAATGGTGAGAGTGCGATTGTCAGCACTCAGATGAACTCGTTCACTGACTATGATGTCAGAGCTGCCGTTGAGCCAATGGAATGTGGGAGAGGAACCAGAGGCGGAGCATGTCAGGCTGACAGAGTCATTGAACTCCACTAGCTCAGTGGCATTGGCTTGTATTATGACATGAGACACTTGTGCTGTAGGTTTAAACACAAAGAGAGATGTGTGTAAGCTTTGCATTGTCCTACTTTAATCCAAAAATTGAGAAAATTAGTAGTGATGCCAGATGAAACAAAAAAATCAGTCTGTAAAAGAAAAACATTTTTTAAATTTAAATATTTTTTTTCCTCATACTAAACATTTTGTAACATTTATTTTCTTCCTTAAACTGTATTTTCAAAGCTAAGTCTACATGCATGTTGTACATTCAGCTCCATATAAGATCCCTGGTTAGACCATCAGACTAAATGTAAATGGGAATCAAGAAGTTAGTTGCAGCACCTTGTGCATTTTGTTTAATTTTCTCTATCACTATGTCACTGTATCTTATTTTTGTCTATATGAATTTTGTGTCTTGTTTAGTGAAGACTACCATGGGTCCTTTTGTGATGAGATGTCCTTTTTCTGATTTTTTTCCACGCAGAGTTACACATTCCATAGCAAAGGTATTGTTTATAAACATGACCAACTAATAGCGCTCTGCAAACTGACCATTGATACCAAAATACACCTGAAATCCTGAGGAAACTGAGAACTGAGGACTGGAGCTAGATGCAGGGATAAGAGGGGAAAATACAAACCACCCATTCCTTATATCATCATGGAAAAGGTACGATCTCTAGAGAATAAACGGATGAACTAGAAGCACTAATGAAGACCCAGAGAGAATATTGTGAGCGCAGCATTTTGTGCTTTACGGAGACGTGGTTACATGAACACTACAGCGCTAGAGTGCCTGGTTTCAGGACATTGCTGGCAGACAGACACAATTTGCTGAGGAGTAAGATGAAAGGACGTGGGAGTACATCATTTACAATTGAAAGGTGATGTAAGTGATGGACATGTTACTGTAAAGGAATGCTTCTGTAGCCTGGACATTGAATTTCTAGTTGTTGGGATGCATCCATATTATCTGCCCTGAGGATTCTCATCTGCCATTTTGGTTTATGTTTACATATCAATGTCAGTGGATGAAGAAGCGGCAAGTGAAGTCATCCTTGTAACAAGTCTACAAACTGGGGATAATAAAACACTAAAACTCCTGTATGCGAATGTAAAGGATGCTTACAGTTCAGATGCACTCCGACCCCAAGGCACATCAGATCATAACAAGGTTTTGCTAAATCCTAAGTATGTGCCCCCTGTGTGGAGGCAGCCAGTATCCACATGGACTGTGAGGAGGTGGACAGAGGAGGCTGATGAGTCACTATGCGCCTGCTTTGAAGCCACAGACTGGGATGTGCTCTGCAAACCACGTTGACTGGACATTGACAGTATGGCAGACTGTGTAATGGACTACATAATGTTCTGTCTGAATGTCACAGCTCCAAACAGGACTGTTCACTGCTTCCCTGACAACAGACCCTGGATCACCAGTGACCTGAAGGAGCTCCTGAATATGAAGAATAGGGCCTTCACGTCTGGGCACAGAGATGAACTGAGGTGGATAGAGAGTGAACTGAAGGTGAGATTAAAGGAGTACAGAGTCCTATCGGAGGAAGCTGGAGAACAAGCTCCAGCATAACAACATTAGGGACGTATAGACAGGCATGAAACAGATTACTGGCTTTAGAGTGGAGGATTGGCAGCTAGTGGGCAGTCTGGACAGGCCAATGAGTTGAACACGTTGATAAACAGGTTCATCACCAGAACCCCAGCTGCTCCCTCCCTCGCCTGCACAGTCCAGAACTCCATTCCACTTCATGATTGGCTTCCCTTCTCCCCTCCAGTCCACCAGTGACCCCCCCACCCCCCAAACTTCAACATACTACACCTTTGCTGAG